TATAGTCAAATTCTCATGGTTGCAGACAATTTTCCTAGGATGACCACACATTCTTAGGAATTTACTTTGTGTAGACGAAGGGGTAGCTAAATAATCCTATTTTCGGACGGAGAATCTCATACCCAGGATTTAGGCCCTGTTTTCCAACAGCTCAAAGGCACAGCATTGCTGATGACATTCAGAACAGATCATTTCAATTGTGTAGGGCATACTATTAACGCTCAAGGTATACGTTCTCTGAGAAAGGAAGCTGCGGCTATCCTGAATTACTTAGAACTTAGGTCACGCAATTTCGTACATTCAAAGGACTGGTAAGTTTTCAATGGTGGTGCATACTGGCTTTTGGATTGCTTATAATAATAATATATTCTCAGATAGCAACATATTACAGGAGGCATGCCAGTTTACAGGCAAGATCAAGCTGTTACAAATGGTATATTATTTACTTTATTAAGTTAATAAATTACGTTGATAAGTTATAGCGCACATGGGCAATTTAAACAGTGGATAAATTCTCATACATTAGAATATTAATGTCAGTATGAGAGTAGGCGCGTTTTGTGGGTGTTGTGTTGCAACAGGCAATTGGTGGTCGAGAATGATTGGATTTGAAGTGCAGAGTGGTCAACCGAAGACGTTAACTTGAACGTACTAGTTTGTGCTTCTCGATAGCGATCCCAGATAAAGTACGGAGGTATAAGTGACGGTGCAAGACAGGAATAAATGTTTTACAAATGTCTTCGGTAGTACACCATGAGGGTACTCAAACGGAAAGAAAAAAGGAAGGGAGAGGAGCAGAAAAAACAATGTTTATGACTAGTGAATTTTAATCATTTGTGAACGAACAGTAAGGGTATGACCACTTGGACTAATTCTCTTTTATCAGGTTAATTTCTTAGAAAATATATTTCATCAGGTCAAAGAAAACAAACCACAGTATGGTGATAAATGTGAAGAGAATTATCTGAGTGAGGATGATTGCGAAAGCCGAAAGTTTAGCAATATATGTAATTTTAAAATTAAGTAAGGAAAATACGATGCTCAAATACCAACTGGCTTTTTACGTCATGAACCCAGTAACTGACCAGCTTCATGAGAATAGTTCACTAACCATAAGCCAATAGCTTTTTCTCTCAGCAAATCTTCAAATAAGTACTCTCCTCCAGTTCAAATGGTTCAAATGGTTGTGTATGAGATAGAAGGAGCTTTCGATTCACGAGATTCCGTGTCTAGTAGCAGTGGATTACCAATAACTCCAGGCAGGAACCTAAGTATATTAACGATAAAAGGGGAGAAAGAAAAAAATCGGTAAATCATAGAAAGACATTATCTTTAGTCCTTAAGAATAGGTCAAGTTTCCTCCAAAAGGACTTCTGTGGAGTCGCTTGGACTACATCAGTCGGCATAAATTCCAGGATTTGATAGCTCTTACGAAGTAGAAGTTGTGTCTACAGTCTGTTCTGCTGTGTTGTGTCTCCAGTTTCTAGGTATTACCCCATAGGTTTGTGTTAAAGCTAAACTTAAGTACGTGTTTATGGGGATGTTCCGAAGGGTTAAGGATACTATAAGCCATTAGAAGGTTACCTGTAAGACACCTATACCCTAATGGGTTAAGGCTTAGTGAATGGAGAGGCTCTTCATTAGGCTTGAATTTGGGTCCCCGAACTGACTTCGTGGATACGCTTCAGAGTGTCCTTATCCTTTTGGAGTGAGGAAGAAAATACAATACGTCCATACTCTAAATGGGAACGAATGAGACTGTCGAAGATTACGTGGAAAGTTCTTCCGTCAAACAGTCTCGATAACTGGGCTACATTTAGCACTTTACTTCAGACATATAACATACTTCTGGGGCAAAATATGGTCGCATATGGTTATCATATAAAAAACCCATTCAAAAGTTCTCAAGGAGTCGACCTCACAAACTCTTCTAGCTTCAAAAAGGAGATTCTGATGCGTGAGAGCCCAAAAACTGCGAATCAAACAGGTGAAGAAACTTTATTATGTAATACAATTATGGGTAGAGATCATTCAACAATGCTGAAACATAAATGACATACTGTCTTCATTATAATATCCATTTTTAATGCTTTGTGTGTTTGTGAAAATCCCTCCATGTATATACTTGCACTTTGTTCCTATTGATCCTCTTAGTTGTACATTGTTAACTTTTTGACTACATTTGAATTGCTAATATTTGTATTTTATTATGGTTTTCGTTTTTACTACACCTTCACCAATTCCCCGTGTTTCCTCCCGAACTGCACTTATGTTGTTTTACTTTATGCTAAGTTCGGGCGGCAGCCATTTTTGGTTTGTTCCTGCTTTTGATTGCGTGACCCGTGTTGACTGGAATTGTGCATTTCGGTTGTGAATTGAAGCACTCTTCCAGAATTGAAAACACTCCGTGTTATAGAGCGACCAATTATCACCTCTTGAACGAATCTGTACGTGATCTGTCCAGACAGGATAGAATAACATTTATTTGTGGTGAGTGATTTGATCGATTGAACAATTATTGGTTGGATAGCTGAGTGGTTATATTTGTTTAGAACCGTCATCTTGCTCAATTACTTGTTTTAGTTTCAAACGGGCAAGGACGCGTATCTAACTCATCTAGACAGCTGTCCATCAGTCCAAACCGTAGTTTGGATCTTACATTCATTACGTTGCATAAACTCTCGCATCCAGGTGTTCGAGCAATCATCAGGCTCATAGCAGAACGATTTTGCTGGCCTAATGTGTATTGGCACGTAATGGAGTAGACGAGCACCTGTGGAAGCTACGAGAAACCTAAAGGTGAAGAGACTTAATAGATGTCACTTGGGTTCTTCAGTAAGCCCGACCGCTTGCTTCGACCACGTTCATCATGATTTGGTGAAGCCTTTGCTGAAATCAGATAGATACCCTTATCTATTAATGTTTGTGGGCCGTTTAACATGATGGCTGGAAGCAAAGCCTATCAAAAATATTACTTCTTAAACAGTAACTCACGCTTTCGTTGAACAATTACTGCGGCAACTGGACACCAGTTCGGATTTTAACCCAGCCGTTATCTAATAATACTACTAAGAATCACAGGATTCCAAGTGATCGCCTGCTATCTGCAAGCTAACAGGTTGATAGAACAATTTCACCAACAGTCATAAGCTTCACTTTTAGCTGCAGACATATCATAGTGGATTAAAACTCTTCCATTTCAGTTATTCGGGGTTCACAGAGCAATCAAGGCTGATGTTGAATGAACTACAGGAAAACCATTTACGATCCGACACTTCAAATTCCAGGGGAGATCGTAGGTCGTTCATCCGTTTCAGTGAATCTGTATTAGAACTGCTACATCTGCAGGCTACAAAAGCTATGGGTTCAACTAAACCTGCTTCCACTCGACCGCAATCTAGAGATGTTTTCGTCCAACCCGCCTTACGAATAATTATGCACGTCCTTATACGTAGCATCTCAGTGTGTCGAACCGTCAGAGCTCTATTCGAAAGACCTCATAAAGTTCCTCATCTCGAACCCGAGTACTATACTAGTTGGAACAGAACTGAAGATGACATCAACGTCGACCGGCTAATCGCCCCCTACTTAGAAAGATATCTTTTCCTTGTGAACTTCCAATAAACAACCACACAACACAATCTTCATGATTAAGATGAGACTCGGTAAACTCTGACGTTCAGTAAGCAGGGGCATGTAATCTTCTATTCGAATCTGTTTAAGGTACGAACTGCTGTGTTTCTTGATTACAGATATTTAAGAGGGGACTCATCACAACTTCGACTGATTATTTAGCCTTTGAAAATGGCTAATTAGTTGCTTGCCATCAAGTCACTCTTTAATAATTGAGGCCATGTCGTCATGTCTACTTGGTAAATCATAACTGAACTGAAGTTAAACATGGTAATTGGATAGTACTTCTACCAGTGAATGAGTGGCATTCATAATGATTAGCACCATCATCACGAATGAGAACTGGATCAAGAATAGATGAAGAGTAACGTGAATCATAATGAATGAGATCTTTGATGTGATGGATAAGTGAGTGAGGTTGTGGATTCTAAGGGTTTGTAGTCTGTCAAGTTATCTGCTGAATCAGTAGGCCCACTTAGGTGTCACAGAGCCGTAGCCAAATCACCTCTCATGCACTCACATCTCTTCGTTTATGTCATGTTTGTTCTGTAAGGTTGTTAAAGTTAACACAGTACATGAATACCACAACAGCGTAACTCATGTTATGTGCTAACTTCGAGGTGTGCTTTTTACATAGGTTTGGTGGTCAAACGACTACCGTCAAGCTATGGTAGACCAGAACATCCAAGTAGATCATCTACACTGGTGATCGGTAAATCAAACTATAATTCAACTCAACTAGTAGAAGATAAATCAAAGCCACGTAAGATCAGGTCGGAAAACGAAGGGGTATGGACACATATTTGAAAGTCTATCGATATACACCGGGAAGCGTCTTATCTAACGGTCGTACGAGGTGCGTAGCACAGTGTGCCCATTCGTGATCTGGTGCGGATGTCCGACAGAGCGCCTTCAGCTAGATATGTCTATTTAAACCAGAGAGGCCAGCATCAAATGTTTAAGACTTATGGGACTATTTATTTTGGGGATTTATTTACCGCTACATTGTCAATTGAGGAAGATCATTAATATGAGGCTAAAAGAACAAAGGAGCAGTAATCGATCGAACGGCATCGGGTAGTGAGTTTTTTCACATGCAGGGAAAGATGACTAAAGGGCTGCCAAGCTGTATATTTGGTAAATGGAAGAACGGTAGCGTGAGTATGGTGGGCGCCAAGAAATATCATAATCTTGACCATGATAATAATTCCATTAAAATAGTGAAATCAATATAAATTACTAAAAAGCTGATGAAATGGGTTTCTGCTGGTTATGATAAACTGAGCCGTAGTACAACGCTACTAATATACAATACTGACATTTTCGATGTTCGTTGTTTGAAGGCCGTCCTTCATTTGGCGGTCTTTAGTCCGTTCTGGTTGGCGGTCTATTTAGGCAGGTCCCTAGTTGTCTGTTTTGCGCTGTGTTACTCTCTGGTTACTGCTTATGTTTTAAAAGTGTCAACTTTTCTGTGATATGGAATTCCTTAGACGACAGGGACCAAATGGGAACTCAATTAATGTGTGAGAATATTAATATTCATCTACACATCCTTCCAAGTATATCAGATCCACTTAAATTCCTCTTCTGTCCATCGAATTGGGCACTAGTACAACAGTTCACCCTTCGCCCTTGTTCATATTTTCACTCTAGAAGTTGTGTTAGAAAGTGTGTACTTTGATAATAATATTAAGTATGATCAAAAGTCATTCGTTAACGTTCAAGTAATGCTGAATGGTGTTCTGAGATGTATAGACATCCAGAAAATTCAGGATTAGATGGTTCTATATTTTTAGTCTCAAGTGGGATTGTAGGTTTTCACGACTGATCATAAAGAAGTTATAACTAGTTACATGGGGTGGTTTGATAGCCTTCCCTAACTTTGCTATACTGAATTAGTAATCTGTTGACAGTCCAAACACTGTAGGACGCTAAGTTCCAAGAGTTTTTGGTTGACACAGTTTTTAAGTGGTAGTGTTAAGGTATGCACTCACCCAGTGAATCCTAACATGACTCGAGATTCGTCTTCGCTAATAAACGTCAGTCTGGAAATTTACTGAAAGATGCCACCAAATTAGCCATATCCTGGGATCAACATCATGATTGTTTGCGTTTTAATGATTGTACTACCACAGTATATATTATCTTACCCGTTGAGATATTTGATACAGTAAGGATACCGGTAACAATAGTTACCGTATGACAACTTAACTATTAATAATCAGATAACTGATTATCTACAAACAATTATGTATTCATAAATGCAGAGGTCGTTTATCAGTTTATATAATCATGTACTTTAGGTGACTATCTCTGACTTTTTGACTGCCCAGTCCTAAACCCTTTAGCTCCTCTATTTCTCCTCATCATTATGCCATTTTACGTGATGTATTTCTTGTGTAGCGAATTTAATAAGTCACTCAGCAACAACGTAGAACTTCGTGCGCACGTACGTCAGTTCAAGTTGCCACACCAAATTAGCACAGAGATACAACTGTCCATCCAAACCTCATAGTGGTAGGGGTAGCAAAAGTATAAGTAGTAATCGGAAGGATTAGGGTTTGAAGATGTTATTCAAGGAGTATAATCCAGTGAAATAAATTTGGCAAAAGAGAAACAGGGCATGAAGAATCCAGAAGATTAGGATTTGGAAGAACACAAATGCCCTGGTATGGCCGAGAGTGAGGTGGGCCTGCCCTCCCTCTCGAAATGCTCTCACACGGCCACGCGTATACAGCCTCTGCCAGAGAAGTCCTACTCACTGCCTTCTCGTGGCGGAGGTGTTGTTTACGGAAACGAAAAACGAATGAAGTCACTAACTTCTAGTCTGAGCCATGTTGGTAGATGCAGACTACTTGGTTGGGGTCCGCGTGACTATCGTAACCAATGGTTGGAGACTCTTGGTGACATGGCTCAGAATCGATCACAATGGCGTCGGTGTATACACTCCCTGTCTTCCCTTAAACTAAGAGATTAAAATCGCTTCATATCTTTCTTTCTACGAACCAATTCTTTCTTCTTGTACTATATATGGGCATCCCTGACGAACACCATTTGAGGTAATCAATTCTGATGACAGTTCGCCACAAGCTCTCACTCGACCAGTTGTTTTCAAGTAGAGAGCATTTACAAGGTTGATGTACTTCTTTGGTACTCCTTTCAATGACAAACACTGCCATAGAACATCGCGATCAACAGAGTCAAATGCCGCCTTGAGGTCGAGAAATACTACGATTGTGGGGCGTCTGAATGTGTGTCTGTGTTCTAGGACCTGACGTAGTGTGAATATCTGGTCTATACAACCACGTCCAGGTCGAAAACCAGCCTGGTTTTCTCTAGTCTGTTTTTCACGAGCTTTGATTAGGCGTCGAAGTATTATTGAAGCTAATATTTTAGACACTATATTAGTCAATCTGATTCCTCTGTGATTGTCACAAGAGGACTTTTGTCCTTTCTTATAGACTGGCGCAATCAGTGATTGAGACCAGTTAGATGGGATTACGTCCAGTTCCCAGATTCTACCTAAGACCTCAGTCAATCTCACTGCCAATGCTGAACCGCCATCCTTAAAAATCTCAGGAGTAAACCTGTCAGGGCCTGCTGTTCTCTCGCTTCGGATATCCTACAGCTTTTTCAACTTCGTAAAGAGTTGGGGGACTTATACGAACTTTCCATTCAGGTAGACTGGAGATCGTGAAAAACCGAAATGTGGATGAAGGCCAGTTGAACTGATCTCTAAAATTTTCTGCCCATCGATCCAATCTCCTGAATCGTGTAGTCGTAGCTTGCTCGGTTCAATTTTACTTGACTAAATTACAAGCAAATTCTGTTTTTTAATTTAAAGCATTTACACAAACCGTCTATAGTCACCAACAATCGGCCTCCATCTAGCTGAAGACCACTTTTGTCTGTTCTTTGTACTCAATGCATTTACTGGAAATGATAAGACTTCTAAATTTTTGTTCTGCCTACGTGTTTATATATTTGTTTGTCTACTTCAATCCGAAATATTTGTCCAGACTCATGAATGCTTTTTGTTGCCACAGTATTCACACCTAGTGAAAAGTATGTTTATACATAGTCTTCCTGTTTTCTTCCCATTCACATCTTAATACTTCTCAAAAGTTATCATTTGACTAGTAATATACATGGGAACATGTTTTGTTCTGTGACAGTTTAGCTTTAACAAGATTTGCTTTTTATATGGGTACAGGTTGTTGTTCGCAATTACAATTCAACCGTTATTTTCTCAATTATGGGGCCAGTTTTATTTTATACAGCGTCTTTGCAAATATTTTGTTAGTCATGTTTTAATTCACTTAATTTTTCTTAAAAACTTTTGACATCTTCGTATATTGTTCAAATATTGACACGAATCCCAAAGATTAGCAGGATTTGGAATCAAGATTTGTCTAGGTAAAATGTAGACCACACCTCAGGTCATAAAGAAATAGTTATATACATAAGTAACAATTAAGTTATGAAGCTTTGACTTAATAAGCTATTCACTCTACCACTTGCAATCATTGAATCATGAGTCATAGACGCAAATGCCCTGGTACGGCCGAGGGTGGGGAGAATCATCTCTCCCTCGCGGAACGCTCTCACATGGCTACCTGTATACAGCCACTGCCAGAAATGTCCTACTCACTGCCTTCTTGCAGTGGGGGTGTTGTATACGAGTTGATCGGTACAGAGGAGTTGGAAAACCCCGACTCCAAACTAGTGGTGCACATGGGCTTCAGGATATTGAGAGAACAAATAGCGTATAACCCTATTTTTGGCCACCGGCTACCATGGGACTGCATCTCTATACTTTACGTTGCTCCACTGCCTTGTGAATTAGACCTTTAGACCAAAAACTTGGATAGTGGCCTCCTAATAAAACCACCTGCTGCGGTTTGGGTGCACGGACAGTATCCCAGCGCTCACACAAGTGGAATGATTTATGTGGAGCATATTTATTTGGTGCCTCCTTGTACCAATGTTCATGCTTATAGACCCAGGTCACGGAATGATTTCACTAAGTTATATCCTATTGCTGAAGTTGTAAATTTTTACTAATAAATTGGTTTGTGACCTGTTTAACTGCCATATTGGGTGTTGTTACTAAAACTGTAGTGCTAACTAAAGTAAGTGTGCTATTTAGTGCGTATTTATTTTCCCTAACTTGTCCTTTTCCTTCTGACCTTTTAGTTCTCACTTTCTCCTATATGATGTTCGTGTTGAATAATGGGAGTTCACTTCCCCCACTGAATCTTATAACCATGGCTACTGTAATCGAAGCAAATGGGCCAGTTTACAATGGACCTGGAGCCAGCAAACCTAGCTCCCCATTTGTGCTCTGTAATCTTGAGTTATCTCAGCGTGCTGCTGTAGAAAAGGCCAAAAAGTATGCAATGGAACAAAGTATACGTTCGGTGCTTTTGCGTCAAACTCAGTCACAGCAGTCTCTTCAACTAAATAATATAAAAAAGAATCAAACTGTTGCACTTCTGAATCGGGTTTACGTTGGTTCAATAGCATATGATGTAAAGGAAGACAGTCTAAAACAAGTGTTTTCACCGTTTGGTCCTATTAAGTCTGTGAATTTAAGTTGGGATCCTTCTACACAAAAGCATAAAGGGTTCGCATTTCTTGAGTTTGAATACCCCGAAGCTGCACAATTAGCTATTGACCAAATGAACGGTACTAGCTTTGGTGGGAGGCAGTTAAAAGTTGGTAGACCAAGTAACCTAACAAACGCCGAACCTGTCATAAATGAGCTAGTTAATGAGCACAATCTTCATAACCGCATTTACGTTGCTGGCATACACTTAGATCTCACTGAAGATGATGTTTCTTTAGTATTTGAAGCTTTTGGGAAAATAGTGTTTTGCAAGTATGTTTCTGCAAATATACACAACCATTTGTTTCTAGGCTTCAACCTGATCCAACTAGACCGATGCGCCATAGAGGTTTTGGTTACATAGAATATGAATCCACTCAGAGTGCAGCTGATGCTGTTGGTAGCATGAATCAGTTCAATCTTGGTGGACAGCTTTTGAGAGTATGCAAAGCTATCTCACCCCCCGATGGTATTTCAAGTGCCAGTTCTTCTAATCTCCCACCAGCGGCAGCAGTGGCTGCGGCTTCGGCCACTGCTAAAGTTCTATCAATGGAAACAGAGCAGGTAATTATTGACATCATAGCTAGTTCATCTTCTTAGTTGGTTAGTATGTATTTTAAAGGCCTCTTTTTTCTTATTATAGCTCCCTGTGAATTCTTATTCAAAGCAACCCGAAGTGGCTCATCCTGTAGTACTGAATACTCTGTCCTCCACAACAACACAGTCTACCAATCTTACCAACAGCTCTTTACCTACATGTTCTCCCACAACAGTCCCAACTACTGGTCAACCAACACTTGATCAGCCCTCATTAAGTGGTAAATCTATAATTTCTCACTTTATCCCAGCTAAATAATTTTGATGTCAGTCTCTATGTGTTTGCTAGTTTAATCTGCTAATTTGTGAATATTCCGCAAGTTTTCTCAGGTCCAATAATAATAATAATAATGTTACTGACACTTTACTGTATGTACCTAAACGACCAGTAGTCTACGTAATATTCTAATCTACCCCCAAAACTAATTAAAACTCAATGAATTCTAGGCACGTACATCGTACTATTCTGCACCATTCTTATGTGATTATGTATTATAAAATACAAGACTATTGTGCACCAAAAGTAAATACTTATATATTCACTTTTATGCCTCTCATACTCTGGATTGTCCCTCAAACTGGCAACTAATACCCTTTAAGTTGAAAGTGATGGTTATTCAGCATTCTGAATATATCGTTTAGTTACAATTTTATTCTTGTGCCTGAGAAGACATATATGGGTAAAGTCAAAAATGCTAATAACAGACTTAAAGCACTAAACCTTGAAATGTTCCTCTTGTTTGCAATTGTAATCTGACGCTTCACACGTGAATAATGTTTAATTCTGATTTATTTGGTCATAAATATGCTCCAGAAATTTAAATTCTATATATTCGTTCTACAGAATTCCGTTCCAATTTTTTTAGGTAGAATAGTTTCTTCGTGTCCCCTCATAATAGTACTATGTTTTATGTATGGTTTTATTATGATATTAATGTTCATTAGATTAACTATTGATACTCAAACTTAGTAACTCGATCTTTTACTCACGTTTTGAAATTTTTTAACAGCTGACTTTAATGCAACATTCACACATGTGAATAATTACAATGAGAATTCTAATGCTGTTGCTGTAGGGACTTGGCAACCTGAGGTGCCTGGGCAATATTCACATGCCCAACCCTCCTCTGCGTCTCCAAGTAGCTTCACATCTCATTCTGCTTCCTCCGGAAATCCAAACTTTTTCTCAGGCGGGTAAGTATGAGCATTTTGAAATATACATCAATTTCTTGTTTAAAAACTAGGTATAGTATCACTTTATATGTTAAGTTCGTTTTCCTCTCTGCTAATTTTTTCCAACCATTGCTGCTATCTTGACGTAGTGGTCGAGCCTGCCTATCATGATGAACCAATAGGGCTTCACTAGCTGGGACAATCGTTCCTCAAGGTCCTACCATGCCAGACAGGTCGGTTGAAGAACGGTAAGATTGAAAGCAGAAAACCCAAGATCCTAGGGCGAAGTCATACTGCTGCACATGAAACAGGCTTTTTAAGGCGACAGATGAAGAGCGAGTTTGTAGTGCTTCACTAGTGTCTCGGATATAGTTCTCATACAGACTATGGACATCGATGTTGAAACTTTCTAAAGGCTTTATATATTTTCTGATCTGCATTAGTGTGCGACGTTAAAGGAGGCCAGTTTGAATGGCACATGTGGTTTCAGAAAAGCTGGTTCAGAATTCGTATTTGATGGCAGCGTTCAACTTTCGACTGGTCTGTGACTTGATATTGTTTAGATAGGACAGGATTTCCACCATAGGCGAGCTGTTGTGTTAGTTGAAAAATAAAAGAATACACAAAGGGGAATAAAAGCGAATAGACAAGTGACGCAATGTAAAATATAAACGAATGTTATCAAATAGTCGTGAATACAATTTTCGTGAGTGAGAATAATTTCTCCACTTGTAGTCATTTAAATTCTGTAAGGGTTAGGATACTACGTGAGTGCCCAAACTAAGCGGAGTAGTTATCTTAGGAAGCTACCTCCCGAGTCTTGACCTATAGGTCTAATAATGCAGTGGAGCAACGTTATGAGATACGGTCTCGTGGTAACCGGTAACCAAGATTAGGTTCACGCGTCACTTGCTTCTTTAAGATCCTGGAGTCCATGTACACTATTGGTTCGGAACCAAGGTTTTCTAATTCTCCTAGATGGATCCTCTGTAGCAAGAATTGTATATAGTAGTAAACCAACATTATTAATGAGAAATAAGTTTTGATACTATAAAGTCCAAAATTTTGGTTCGGGTTTGCAGCTGCTGTATGTGATCAATTTTTCATCGTTCAGAAATTATACACTTCAGTGATTTTCCGTTGTGAAGCATCCATTGACTCAGGCTTTTGAAATAATCTTTTCAGTCATTCTAATTATTCATTATCATATTTGTGGAGGACGATAATAGCTGTCACAGTCCAATGATTGTTCGGTCAAACCCTCCTCACATAATACCCAAAATTTAAATCGCTGTTCAGTTGTTTTATGCATTCACAGAGGTGCAGATGTTTTAATCAGAGTTGTGGACCTATTGTAAACAAGGTGATCCTCATCTTCTAATTGTGATTAAAAAGTAATATGGTCATTGTGTTCACCGTCAATAGTCTTCCCTTTTATGTCTTCCAATCAGCCCAGGCATAAATAATGTTGAATTAGTTGCAGGATACAACCATTATTAGTTTCGTCAGATTAAAGTCCCAGAAAAACCCTATTTCCCTCTTGCTTTTGGTTCCAGTTTTCTCATATACCATCCGTTATGATGAATGGATCTGCAATATATTTCTTATCAAAAGCTAAGCATCTAGGTACTGCTGATTGTTCTGGTCGTCCTAACCGGTCATTAAATCTACTGGCATTGGTCCTTTCCTACTTCAATAAAGTGATTCAGTCAAGCAATGTACATCCCATTATCAGTTGGGATTTAATGTGAGAAGTACCTTTTTCGTTTTTGAACTTAATATTATAGCCACACAAACATTCCTTCTCAGTCAGCAAATTTTAAACTAACTTAGCTCGAATTCGTTATTACGAAATGTAAAACTAACCGTGTCAGGTATGAATTACAGTTGGGGATCACCTCATAATTTAGAAGTCATGAGCTATACTGTGGTCACAGCATTGATCTCATACGTAAAATTCCTTAGTCTTCCGTTTTATACGGTCATGTTATTACGTAGTAAATTAGTTGTTTGATAGGTGTATCGATATTTCTTCCGTTCTTTGAATGTAGTAAATCGCTATTTATATTAAACTTTTGAAATCTCTAATGATGTGAAGAGTATCAAGTTTTAACAGTATCTTAATGACAAGTTAGTTACCACGTCTCATTTCTCGTTTCTAACAAAATATGTGTAATAGAACCATTGTTTGATTGTTATTAGTGTCAGTTGTGTAACTAACCTAATTTGTTGACATGGCAGTGATCTGTCATTGGAATGGTTAGCAAACAGATTGTCAATGTTGTCTCATCAACTGCTAAAATCCCTGATAGTTACAGTTTTCTCCATAAGGATTATATCTCCAAGGAATTCATGGAAATGTATGTTCCGGTAGCATATCTTGTTTTGGATTTATTATCCATGACATGTAGAACTATGGGGTAAACTCAGCTTATGGAGTCATGATTATATTTTTTAGAATTCTTTCTAGATTATCATCTAAATAATTTGTCTAATTTTCTGTTTTTATATCACCCTCCAAGGGTGAAAAATGTCCTGGATTAGGAATGTTTTTTGATCATACCATATTGATGTACTGTTCGCTGAAAAATCTGATAACTCATTTAGGTAGATTATACTAATTATGTCTATTATAGCATTCTTATTGTGAGGTGTTTTAATACACTCAAATATTATGACTTCACATCTGCAGTATAGCCTCTGCCAGAGAAGTCCTACTCACTGCCTTCTCGAACCAGGGGTGTTGTTTACGAAATTGAGGACGAAAAGCGAATGTCCAATAGGAGCTTTAACCGGGTTGGTGGACATGGAGAGTCCACCTAGGAGAGTTGGAAACCCTGATTCCAAACCAATGGTGTACATGGGCTCCAGTACCCTGAAGGAACAAATGGCGTATGAACCAATCGTTGGTCACCGGCCATCGTGGGACTGCATATCTTTACGATGCTCCACTGCCTTGTGGATCAGAACTTTAGGTCAAAGGCTCCGGGTGTGGCCCCCTAAGAAAACCACCTGCTCCGGTTCGGGCACCCGGGCAGTGTCACAGCCCTCACACAAATCAAATGAGATTTGTCTGGCGCATATGTATCTGGTGCCCCCATGTACCAATATTTATGTGTTCAAATAAATAAATACAGTTTGATGCCAAGTACAGAATTGTAGGTTATACTAATTTTATCACGTACCTGATTGATAATCAGTGAAAGCAACACTAATAAAAGTTCCATGTTCGATTACGTAAGTGGCCTCATAATCATTTAAACGATTCGTAGGGCATATATGATACATAACTTCCAACATGAGATCTAGTGTTTTAACTGTATGGTTTTATTACAGTGAGCTGTGACCTAGTTGTAACCTGAATGCTTAATTTGTTGTATTAAGAAAGTTATTGCCTGAATATCCAACAAGAACTTGAGTCGTTAAGACTTAGATATGGGTGGGATTTTTTGCCTAATAATTATTTTCTAGTGTCTCTTGATTCTAAACAGTTGGTTTACCTTTTGGTATTTTTGTTTTCAGTGTTTTGATTTTACGTAATATGGTCGGTCCAGAAGATTGTGATGACGAACTGGAAGGAGAAGTGGCCGGAGAGTGTTCTAAATATGGATCGGTTGAAAAAGTGTTAATTCACCAAGACAGTGCTCATGAGACAAATGAAGAATTCGTCAATATTTTTGTTGTATTTTCTGACCCATGTTCAGTACACAATGCTGCAAATGCATTAAATAAGCGCTACTTCGCTGGAAGACAAATAACTGCCGAGCCATATGATGTGGAAGCTTTTATGATGAATGACTTATCTCGTTAACTTTTTAGGTGTACCGTTTCTTCTAACAGCCTTGTTTCTTGTAAATACTAAATATAGACAATGATTTTGATGTTATTTTCAGAGACTATCTGCAAGTACTTGTTTCAAAGTGTAATGGATTATGGTGTACCAATGTTTGTTAAACGAAGTTGAGCAGGCTAATTCCTCTACGCAATTCACACACAATCCAATTTATCTAGAAAAACTTAAGTAAAGCGTAGCTAGTAGCTTAGCCTATCTCTCAGTGTGCCAAAGATACTGTGGATGGATTTCAAGATAATCGTTAGAATAGTAAAAATTCTAATTCGAATATACAGTAAAATATGAATAGAGCAAAGAGGCATTTCTTTCCAACTAGTTTTTCTTCATAGCTCTGGATTTTAATATGTATAATCACAGTAATGATAATTAATGGAGTAGTGGTGTAATTATAATTTCACAGATGATTACGGAAATAATGTCGAATGACTGAGTAGTTGGAAAGGTGATTGACTAATCATTTGTAGAAGTCGAATACGTGTGGTTAACGTCCTAACTGTTGGTTGATAGCTCAACAAGTATATCTATGGGGACTTGACATTCTGACGTTGTCGGTCCCTGAGAACTACAACGAAGCCTCCAGAGGCCCTAAAGGAGCCGGAGAGTTCCAGCCAATCAGAACATAATGGAGCCTTCTAGAATATCGACGTGGCATGCTACTACTGGTCAGTAGCACAATATGTCTCCTAGCGGATTGGCCAAAATATAATGTTGATTTAACAAATGCTAATATCTATAAATACCCGTGTTTTTCTGTACAAGAACGAACCTTTGGGGTAAAGTGCTTCTCGCATAAAAAATTGTCATAACTTGTGACCCGTGTGCCCTGTTTATTGCATAACGTAACGATAACGCCAATTAGAGAGCAGTGAATTATCGACCGGACCAGTGACGCATAAAACCTGTATGGCCAGTCTAGGGTCCTTATTGGTCCTGCTTTCTCCCTAGCCCAGCCAGTTGAATCCAGAACACCAATCTCAGCCTCTGCAATATGAATCGCTTATTTCAAGCATGCTGGGTTTACATACCAACCAGACAGACCACAACTTAGCATAAAATAGAAAATAACATTAGTACAAGAATTAGCCAAATGTGGCTATGAATAGGCGAGGTAGTAATTAATAAACAGGGCATAATTCAAGAATGGTAGACCGTATAATAATAGTTCATAGATCGAAATAAAGCTTGTAATAAGAGGGACATGAATATGAACAGTTTAGTTACTTAACAATTATACGATAAAAATATGCACATATTATTTGTCCATAAATGGATCCCAGAAGTTGCCATTCTTTATTCTTATCGGGACATAACAAATATTTTAACATAACGAAACTATGAATGAAGAACTACAAACATGCGTTCATGTTACTTATAAATACTCCCTAATATCTCTGACGTAAATCGGAGTTACGAGTAAGTGTTATGCTTGGGTTTCAAATAAGCTATAATTTCACCGCCTTTAATATGACCAGTTGCGTTTTTTTCTGTTGCTTATCATGTAAAGTGACAGTCCGCTTCTCTGGCATAACCAGTTATCTGTGATTCCATTAGAGAAAAAGCCGTTGCTTCATTCAGTATACTTCAGGTTTTATCCTGTTTACACGATTACGCAACATATTCCACATTATTGCCACTGTATATATCACTTGTTAGGTAACTAATAATCATACCAAAGTAGTCAGTCGCACTTGCGAGTTTAACTTCCCAATCTGAATTACTAAGTTCATCATCTGAATTTACACAGCTGGTTAGTGAGATCAAACTTGTGATGGAAGATCAGACCGTGAAAAAGTCGTCCTATTTCCCGGAAATGGATGGGCTTCACTAATTGAAGTTCGTATGGCGAAAATCTAGATCCATGTTAATGAATCATCATAGTGTTGTTTTCCAAACTACACATTTCGACTGTGTGACTTTAGACCCTTTTAAACTGCAGATGTTCTCAACCTGAAGTTCCTGTAAGTTTCGGAGGAATGGATTTTTCTAAACTTCCTGTTCTAAAAAGCTACATGTAATTAAGTGTCGAAGAATTTCTGAAAATATTATTCCTCTAGCCTGTGTGAAACAGATCTTAATTTCACGATAAAGTAGAGCAGCACAAAATGTTTTTTGCCAAATATGTCTGTGCTTAGATCTAATACCTGAATATGTTTTTACAACTAGGTGCTCACCGTAAATTACACAGCGGATGCGCCACGCACATCCTTTTTAAACTTCAGGTCATTAGACATACATCACATCTAACATACGCACTTTTTTCCAGTTTGTGGTTTCACAATATACGGCCTGTACTTTGAATAGTCAGATCTAGATATGAGCTTTCTGTATTCTCCGCCTAATACCGTGTTCGAAAGTCCTAGAACCCATTACCCAACGTTAGACTGGATTTGAACGGTTTTCGAACCAATGCATTCTCAAGAACTCATCGCACAAGACTCCAAGCATGATAACAACTTACGAGTAGGTCGAGTGCGATTTTCACTGGTCCAGCTATATTAGACAACGAAAGCAAGCAGCAGAAGTGGATAGATACCAGGGACTATTTAAGGAACTAGTTTTGTCAGGTCAACAACTAGTGAAGTTTGTCACAGTTCAAATAACGAAATGATCTTAACTAGACCACCACTGAAAATTTGGAAGCACTGGACGGCAGCTCCGTCATAGCATGGTACTCCGCAACAGCGCGCACCCACGGCCCGTACACGGGAATCAAACCCAGCACTTAGCACGCAAACACTTAATTCCTATATCACTGTGCCTCCATCGAACGATGTCCAGCTTCAACCGACCCACTATACTGTCAAATCCTCTCCACCGCCTGATGTGGATAACTCACACTGATCACGGCCTGTCAATAGGATTCAAGGATTTGCACCTTGAAGCTATTCACTGGTAAGTACATGACCATTTTAAGTATAAGAATTTGTGGGGATTGTAGGGTTGATTGGAGTTAGACATTACCACTGCTGAACGTAGAACCAGTGGTCCCAAACTAGGATGGAACGGCCGTTCAGGGCTTTCAATGGTGATCTATGATCAGTTCGTAATCTAAACAATTTAAATTCTACATTCTCCACAAAATCCAATGCTTGTTTGTAGAGTTAAGAAAATTTACAAATCTAATTCCTCGTGACATCTATTCACAGTCATCTGATTTTATCATTTATTCAGTAAGTTAACTCGGATGATACATGTAATTTTTGTCACACTGCTAAGCTGTTATACCTCATATGTGGTAAAAAGGAAAGTCGGCGGAAATCAGAAAGTAACCATTGATTCACATCGCCAGAATTCCACTAGCTTCGAGTACTTACTATTTAGAAACTCCACGATTTGGTACCGTAGTTTTACATTTTGAGGACCAGAAATTTTCAGTGTGCATGATGGTCACCAAACCAAACTGACTCGCAACACGTAACTCAACCGTTTATACTGATAGGCAAAAAAAATTCTCAAGTAGTCGATTCCATTTGAATATAGTATATTTCCAAGTCATTGCGCATCAAAGACTTGAATGTATTTTTACGTACAACGGCAACAAAATGTAAAAGTCCCTACGAAGGAAAAGCAAGCATTTTTTCAAGGAGCAGAAACATGTGAACAACGCTACTAATATAAAAAAAATGAAATACAGAGCGACGCATCAGTGGCACATTGTCAATCACTAATTGTGTTTAGGAAGCTAGTAAGTGTCATCTCCACATTTGGTTTTCGAAACACACCTGGGAATCGCTCGATTAGGCAGGAGTTTCAAACAATCCTACTGTACAAGGAACCACTACTAAGTATTATGTGGGACGTGTCTTATTGATTTCCTGATCCGAATTCAAAAGCCGATGTAATAACAAATACCACCATTATAACAACACATCCTAAGCCAGTAGGAACGCATTTGGCACTAACCATTCAGGTTAAAACTTCGGGCTTGGACCCTTTACAAAACCACCCGGACTTTTAACGTCAGTAGTAAGCATATTTAAAGGCACATTATATAATAAACGTTCTTTACGAACAAACGAATTTGCTGCTGTTGACTGGGAACATTCAAAATAAATTACGGCTCATTCTTCAGCTTGGTCCCGTTTTCATAGCGAAGATAAAATATTAGGCCTCACAAGAATAATCGATATGGATCTCCTCAAACTATTTAAGACAAGACCTATACACTCACAGAGACTGAAATAAAGTTGGAATCTGCACCACATCACTGGAGTCACATAAAATACCTTAACGGTAATTTGATTGGTGCGACACATACATGGAAATTAAACAAAACACTTGGCAGGTTTTTTTCTAGTATGGTTGTTATTAGCAATACTTTTAGCCGGATGACGCAGTTTGAGGAAACAGAGAATAGGTATACAGGAATAAGTAATCCATGGTTTACTCGGAAGTACTTTACAGAACTACTGAGATAAAACATCTTTGTTTATTTTGTAAGCTGTAATTTCTAAATAGTTCTATAAAAAGATGTGCTCCCCATGCAAAAAGCAGACTAGTGGTGCTTGATATAGGCATATGGGACCCGACTATATCCTAGAAAGCTTCTTCGTCCAATCATTTCCCCCATGAAAAACCAACAGAGTACTTCCGCTGTCACTACAGCATTAACAAGCCCTTCCTGAAAATAAATAAGAGTGCATCAATATATACCTTAACGGAAACATTTTTCCAAGCACCACTTTTGAATGCACAAATCAGTTTTGTTGCTTGTTCGACTGCTGGCTTGAGATCCGCTTGTGTTGGTGGCCTTAGTTCCACCCTTGCATATTCTCGAAACTTAATCAATCTTGGTGAAGTTTCCTGAATAACGAAGGCAGAGACCTCTACAGGGCTCAAGAGAGAAAGAAAACATACTCGAAGCCAAATTGATCACCCTGGTTAATCTATCTGCCATTTTAGTGGCCGCCAACAAGTTATTGACCTTGTTAAGTTTTCAATGTAATCCCAATTAACTCGAAATTCACCGCTTCCAGCTTTTTTTAAACTTGGCGTAATGGGTGCCAGCTTCCAATTTTATGGGACCGGGCTT